CCCCCCCACAGAGGGACAAAAGGACCCCCTGATGATCCTCTAATCGCCTGAGCCAAGGTGTGAAACTGGTTGTGGGTCCCAATCACCCAGTTTCACAACTTGTAACTTTTGTCACTAGACTGCTTCATTAGTCTGCACTACTTCTTCAAAAAAGCAACAAGTTAAACAGAATGTGAACATTATCAGACATGGAAAAATAATGTTCAGTCTAAGTTAAAAAAAAAAACGAAATCCAGAAACTTGTGAACAGAGATGAAAAATATATCATTTAAATGAGAGTTTAATACTATTCACTAATGGTGGCTGCAGTGAGCCTGCTTTTGATAGCAGAGCTTTGGCGGGGCGTGGTCTGCGGGGCAGGTGAACATACCTGAGCGCCATCCGCAAACACACCTCACCAGCTTAAAACAGAATGAACTAGGTACTGTTGATGTGTGTAGGCTGTAGCCAAAAAGCTGCAGCCGCATGTGTAAGTCGACAGCCGACAGACTTGCACACGCGGCTGCAGCTTTTCAGGGGATGCAGTGGATGTGCATATTACTAACCTAGCTGCCACAAATGTCTTTGTTCCACCATAAAAGTGATTCTGATGTTAGTTCCGCATAACCTTTCTGCCAGGTAACTTGTGCCCCACCAGTGGGGTGCTCTACACACTTTGAGAACCACTGCCTTAGAGGCAGGAACAGCATTCACAGTTACATCCTGATAATACACATTCTTAAAGGCACATGTTTGAAATTCTTACAGGTGTTTCAGTTCTGCGAGAGCTTTCCTTACCGATACTGTCATACGGGATCTTGATGGTGTCACTGGATGTCCATACACTGGTGTAGATTAAAAGACAGAGAGGCATCATCCCCAAGGCCAGGAGAGAGGAGCAGGTTGTCATACTGATACTGAGGAGCGAAGGATTTGGACACTGATGAGTTTTCTGCATTTGTCCCCAGCTGTGCTTATACACACTAACACAATCTGTTTTATTTAAATAGTGCTTTAACATTGAATAAATGTAAATAAAACTCTAGACCAATAAAAACTTGTAATACATTAATTCTGTTGTTCGCCTGCCAGGTAGCTACCCAACAAGAAAGTCTTCCTTAAAATAGCTTAAGAGTGTTCTGGGATCCAAAAAACATGAAAATGTTCGATTTAGTTTACATACACAAGAGAAACAAATAGTTATCATAGAGTAGACATAGTGGTCCTCTAAGAGCAGCACTTGGTGATAGTAGGGGAAAAAGAAGGTTCCTTTTTTAACAGGGAGAAACCTCCAGCTGAAAAAGGCTCAGAGAAATCTGCTCTTTAACAGAAAGGGGAAAAGAAAAATAGCAGTGAACCTGCCCAAGGTCTCACCTGAGGTCCATGTCTCCATCCAACCAGTAGCAGATGATGTTGGAGTTTGAGCCACCTGGACAGCAGCCCATGATGATGATGACCACTGCCTGCACAGCCTGGACCCCAAAAGCCAGTGACAAGGCAAAAGCTGTGAAAGGCATAATGCCAAACTGGCAGAGGAAGCCAATGATAATGCCCCATGGCTTCTTAATGTGGCCCCACAGCTTTGCAGCCTCCACTGTGCAGCCCATGGCGAACATGACCATTGCGAGCATGATGGTGAGCACCGTGCTCATCACTACTCCCAGGATGGCATTGAAGTTACTGGGAGGAACAAGGCAGTCTGTGCCCGAGCAGGCTGTGGCAGCATTGTCACAGATAGCTGGCAGCATGGTGGTTGGCTTCAGCGTGGATATTGTTGTTGCAGAAGAAGAATATCAGCAGATACTAAAACTTGCACACACTTTGGGGCTAGAGTCCTTGAAATGTGACGAGTCCAGTTTCTCCCCCTGTCCAGGAAGATGGACCTGACAAAGAGATGGAGTGAGCTTGGATCACTGCCCTTTATGCCCACGGTTCCAAAGCCAAATAAAATTGGGCCGAAAGATAAAAAATTAACCAATAGTCTATGTTTTATGGGGTCAGCGTTCAAAACACATGCATATAAAAAAGAAAATCCCAATGAAATATGAAATGCCATTGGACCTTGGCTCCATCTTTTTACAGCCACATGGGTTTTAAATTTTTATTGGACTCTCATGTCATCAAGCATCATCATGCAGGAAAAGCCACAGAGCACATGTTCTTTGCACAATTCCCATAACATTCCCAATATAAAGGCATGCAGCTTACACAATCATAAAAGAAAGTGTAGAAATATTTTTTGCATTGATAGGAAAAGAGCACATAAATTGGGGGTGGGCTAGAGGTGATTTGTCTGTGGTGTCATTCATTTCTGCATTTTGATTTTACATTTTTTTTATGTGCCATAGGTCTAATTATATAGAGAATCAAGATGCTGTAAAACAATAAAACATGAAAGGATGAAAATGTTTACGGGCACTTCATGTCAATATACCAGGTGTGGAAACAATAAAAAGTCAAAGTGTCCTGATAGAAATTTAAGGGCTATCACAAGGATAGTACCAGCATCATCAACATAAAAACAGTTTACCTAATAAAAGAAGAAAAGAAATCTGCCACATGAGCATGTTTAAACTCACCAGGAGATCCCTGGGCTGTTCTCTAATTGGTGGCTTTATTTTCCAGATATATTTTATTGCCTTCCTAACTGACTTTATGCAACTTTGCAGTCTGGGTCGTTGTGTCCTTGGGCAAGACACTTCACCTACCGCCTACTGGTGATGGCCAGAGGGGCCGATGGCGCGATATGGCAGCCTCGCTTCTGTCAGTCTGCCCCAGGGCAGCTGTGGCTACAACTGTAGCTTGCCTCCACCAGTGTGTGAATGTGAGAGTGAATGAATAGTGGTATTGTAAAGCGCTTTGGGTGCCTTGAAAAGCGCTATATAAATCCAATCCATTATTATTTATTTTTCATATCTTTATTTTCGCTAGTTTATGTAATTT